ATGAGATAATTAATATCAGGAGGTTTGATGATAAGAGGTGCATGCAGATGCCGGCACACGAGAGTAGGCGGTGGATTCGTAAAAGGCATATCAGGAGGTGAAAGGAAAAGAACGAGCATAGGACATGAGATTCTTGTTGATCCTTCATTACTTCTTCTTGATGAACCAACTTCAGGTCTTGATTCCACCTCAGCTAATAGGCTATTACAAATACTTCAAGCTCTTGCACAGGTACACACCAGCCTAGGCTCATCCCTCTTATGGTGCACTTCACATGCGTAGGAACGCACCCCCACTGCCCCCGATTCTAACATGAACATTCATATTCTCATCATGTGTTACATTAGGCAGGAAGGACTATTATCACGACCATACATCAACCGTCGAGTCGGATGTTCCACATGTTCGACAAGGTCTTGTTATTAGCTGAAGGTCATCCGGTTTACTATGGGAAAGCTAGAGACTCGATGGACTACTTCTCGTGTTTGAGTTTCAATCCCGAAATAGCAATGAACCCGGCTGAGTTCTTGCTAGATTTGGCAACCGGACAGGTGAAAGACATCAGTGTTCCGGATCAACTCTTTACTTCTCAAGATCATCCCGCCGAGTTCGAAAATGTTGTTATACGAGTGAGTAGTAATGGAAAATTAATACCAAAAAAAAATAAAAAAAATCTAAACACTATACTATATAAAATATTATTATTATTTTCTTGAACTTAAACATTTTGATTGGCTGGACTGGATTTGAAAGTATCTACAACACAAGTACAAAGTGGAGCTGGAGCCGAAGGAGAAGGAGGAGAATCACGGGACGACACATAAGGTGGACGAGAGACTCCAGTTAGCCATTCAAGTTAAGTTAGATTGGAGCTTGTGTTGGTTCGAACAATTTACAATACTTTCGAAGCGGACGTTTAAAGAACGGTGGAGGGATTACTTTGACCTTCTCCGTTTAATCCAATCGTTTGGCGTGGCTGTTCTCTTAGGCCTTCTCTGGTGGAAATCAAACATTAAAACCGAAGCCCAACTCAGAGATCAGGTACAACCACACAAAGCCTAAGAGAAAATCATATTCATGTACAATCATATTCATGTACATTTTGATTATTATTGTTATTGTTATTTGTAGATTGGGCTTTTGTTCTACACATGTATCTTCTGGACATCGTCGTCTATATTTGGAGCAGTGTACGTGTTCCCGTTCGAGAAAATGTATTTGGTGAAAGAGAGAAAGGCGGATATGTACCGGTTGAGTGTGTACTACGTTAGCAGTACATTATGCGACATGGTGGCTCACTTGTTGTACCCGACTTTCTTCATGTGCATTCTCTACTTCATGGCGGGATTCAAGAGAACGGTCGAGTGTTTCTTCTTCACCTTAGCCGCAATACTCTTGATAGCCGTGACTAGCCAGGGAGCAGGGGAACTGTTTGGAGCAGCAGTGATGAGTGTGAAAAGGGCCGGCATGATCGCCTCCCTCATACTGATGTTATTTCTTCTCACCGGTGGATATTATGTTCAGCACATTCCGAAATTCATGCAATGGCTCAAGTACGTATCGTTCATGCACTACGGGTTCAGGCTGCTGGTGAAGGTGCAGTATTCGGGGGATCAGTTGTACGAGTGCGAAAGCAAAGGGGGCTGCCGGAGGCTACAGAGCTCGCCTTCTTTCGACACGGTGAATCTTGACGGTGGAGTACTCAAAGAAGTTTGGGTTTTGTTGGCTATGGCTATTGGGTATAGGCTGGCTGCATACGTCTGTCTACGTAGAAAAATTAGTATCTACCGTCTTTAGACAAGTAAACGGACTGCTCGAGTAACTACTGAATTGCAAGGGGTGATCGTTGTTCGATGTTGAATAATCTTTACTTAATGAAAATGAAGAGGAAATCTCAGTCCATATGTGTTGACCATCCACTTGTAATTCGTATTAACCATTACAATGTTGTGTAAGCATATGGATTGATTCAAGAAAGACTGCAAACTCAAATAAAGCTACGGATGTGAAGTTATCTAGGGGTTTTAAAATAAGAAGATGAATTTTTTACTCACTTTTCCATCTACGGATCGAGAAATGCTCGCCTACCCACGGCTGACACATGTTAGTATGCCCACCTACGCCGTGGGCATATTAACATGTGCCCACCGTGGGTAGGGAAGCGCTACTCCTAATTTATCTGCTCACGATAATCCAACCACTTTAAAACAAATGTTTTTATTCTAAATTTAGTCCACATCAGAATTTTGTGTACGCTTGAAGAACCCACCACACAGCCTACACCTTAACTTGCTTAGTGGTTGTTGAACAAATTGACCTCCGTGAGTTAGGTCAACCGTTGTATGGTTTGTTCTCTTCATCTCACTTTGAATCAAAGCAACACCGTTTGTTTCTTGGTCACCATCCCAAACCATATTTCTCTAACTCTTCCTCATTTAAAACTAGAAAAAAAAATCATAAACCACCTCTGTTTCATATGACAAAATCTTAAGTACAGTTAAAAATCTTTTGGCCTCAATGAGCACAAGATATTTTTTCAGCCCGGACTCATTATGCGATTCGGGAAGTACGGTTTCCAATTTTACGGTCGACACGACGAGTCCGCATGCAAGGCCGTCTCGAAACTCGCCTCCTATGTTGATACGATTGGCTATGAAGATATCGAGGTCAAGGTGGTACAGTTTTCTCCGAAGAGTTTTCCACTACCAAAACGGGTCTGGGTCGGACCTCGGGCCCAACCCGTTCGATTCGAAAAAGTGGATGGCAATGGAGTTGTCGGCATTGGTGGTTCAAATTAGTTTAACGTTTTACACGCTGATTGTGTCCAAAGACGAGAGACCGGTTTGGCCCATGAGACTATGGGTTGTCGGTTATGCTTTCGCGTGTTTCTTTAGTATTGGGCTCCTCTGTTTGCGTTACAGGCTCGTTTACGTGGCCCAACCGGACGGTTACGGTTTTGATGTTGAGCAGCAGGGGTACCATCAAGACTCAAGGTGTATATATATGTACAGTTTTTATTAAGTTCAAATTTTTTTGTTCTAGTGTTTTGCATAAATCAGAAATTTAATAAATTAACCAAATGTGCAGCAGCTATTATCATTCGAAATTCAAGACATGGGTGGAGCTGATTTTGGCCATATGGTTTGTGATGGGCAATGTGTGGGTGTTCGACTCGCGGCTAAGCTCGTACAAGGGTGCACCGAGGCTCCATGCACTCTGCATCTCAATCTTGGCTTGGAATGCCATCACCTACTCTTTCCCATTTATACTCTTTGTTATGCTATGCTGTTGTGTGCCGCTGCTAGGCGCCTTACTTGGATACAACATGAACGCCGCCTCGCTCAGCCGAGGGGCCACCCACGACCAGCTGGCAGCCCTGCCTAGCTGGCAATACAACGGTGTTTTCGACCTTGACAATCAAGAAGTTCCTGTATGTCTTTTTCTTTTCTTGATTTGCATATTACTTTAAAAAAAAAATTAAAATTGTAGTACCACCTCACCTGACTTGACTGAATTAAATGAAATTTGTTTGTGTTTTCTGACAGGAGTGTTGCATTTGCTTGGCCAAGTACAGTGAAAAGGAAGAAATTAGGCAATTGCCATGTAATCATATTTTTCACCTCAACTGTGTGGACCATTGGCTCAGGATAATCTCTTGTTGTCCTCTATGTAAGCAGGGGATAGAGTGAAACATCTTGAAGCTTTGAATATATCTAGCTTTTGTTCAATTTTTTTTTTTTTTTTTTTT